TTCCCCAAAGAATTAAAAGAATCATACCACAGTGATATATGTGCACCCATATTCATAGCAGCACAATTTGTAATAGCTAAAACTTGGAAGCAGCCAAATTGTCCATCAACTGGAGACTGGATCAAGAAAATGTTTTTTTTTATATATAAAATGGAGTACTACTCAGCCATTAAAAACAGGAAATTAGAGACATTTATAGCTAAATGGATGCACATTAAGGCCATACTCTTAAGTGAAATAAATAGGGCACATATGTATAAATACTGAATAGTTTCTCTAGTGTGAGAAGCTGAAAGTGAAATAAGAACTAAGAGGTATAATAGAAAAAGTGAAATAGGAAGAAAAGAGGCAAAGGAGAAGCGGAAGTGGGAGGGGTAGGGGAAAGAAAAGAAGGGAATGGAATTAATATGAGAAAATGGAAAAATGGAAACAAAGTCTTTGTAAATAGGGAGAGATGGATGGGTTGAAGGGAGGGCAGGGGAAGGGGGAAAAATAAGAACCAAGAGAGATTGTGTAAAGGTGCAAATTTGCAATGATGAATGTCATTATATTGTATACCTAAAATGTATCAATGATTATAATGAATAATTGAAAATGCGAAATAGGAAGAAAAGATCCAAAGGGGTAGGGTTAGTGGGAGGGGTATGGTAGTGGGAGGGGCAGGGGAAAGGAAAGAAGGGAAAGGAAAGAAGGGAAAGGAAAAACTATGAGAAATGGAAAAAATGGAAGCAAAGTCTTTGTAAATAGGGAAGGGTGGAGGGGGTGAAGGGAGGGCTAGGATTGGGAAAAAAATAAGAACCAATATGAGTCATGTAAAGGTACAAATTCTCAATGAGAAATGTAAATGTGTTGTATACCTAAAATGTACCAATATAATAATTTAAAATAAAAGTTATGAACACATAATTCTAAATCTTCAGTAACTGAAACTGATACTGGCCTAGAAATATACAAATAAATCAATGAGTAGAATAAAAGACTAGATACTGCACATATTTATGAGTATTTCATATATGACAACAGAGTTTAAAATTTAACCAAAATTTAAATAACAAAAAACAAATTTTGTAACAATTTGGGAAAAATAGTTTAAATAACTGGCATTGTAGTAAAAAATAAATTCTAAATAATTTAAGAATTAGGCATGTAAACCCTGTAAACTGCATTAGAGAAAGAGAATATAATTATAACCTTGAAGCAAGGGATGATCTTAACATGTTGCTATGGCTTGACTATATGAAAAGAGAAATGAGCAGATTCAACTTACACAAATGTATGAATGAAGAGTTTTAAAAAAAGGTGGGCATCAGGACATAAAATTGGAAATATATTTATAAAAGGGGCTATTTCCCACAATATATTACTATGATTAAAAAAGAAGATGAACAAAGGGTAAAGTGTTATGAAGGTAAATCAGTTTAGGGTAGAGGAGTAAGATAAGATCTGTGGTGTATTTATAAATTTCCCTAAGTGTTTGTTATGAGCTCTCCACTTTCCATTAAGTGAGACAAATAAGGGAAGAAATGAATCATTCTTTTCATTTGACAAATCCTTCATATTTATGTTGTCTTCAAAAATAGTTGACACATTGTCATGACTTTATAACTTCAGTGTTAAAGACTTAACATTCTCTCCTTCCATGTCTGTTATTACCAAATATCTTGTGGACTTTGTTTTGATCTTACAATCATATAAAATATTCAAAATCAATTTCATTGCTGATAGAGTCTATTACATGGGCTTTCTATAGGCAAAATTAGAGTATTATTATTTGCTGCCTAATAAATTACCACAAAATTTAACAGCTTCTGGGGTTTTGAATTTGGATGCAGCTTAGATGGGTGTATGTGCCCCAATTTAGATCACTCACAAGGCTGTAACCAATGGAGCAGAGCCAAGTCTCATTTGAAGCCTTACTCTGAGGAGAGCACATGACTGCTTCCAAATCCACTCAAATTCAGATCCTCACAGGCTGTTGGGCTGAGATTTCCTCAGTCCTTGCACATGTGGGAATCTTTATAGGGCAGCTTATAACATTGCAGCTGGATTTTCAGAAAAAGTGTGTGAGAGAGTAAGAAAAGCCATCAAAGATGGCAGCCACAGCATTTTTGCAACCTAATATCAGAAGTTAAATTTCATTATTTTTGCTGTATTCATTTGGTTAGAAGTCAGTAATTAGATACAGCTGACATTCAAGAGGAAGGAATTGCAGAGGGCACAGGCTGCCTACCAGAAAAGCTGAGGTATCCAGGTAAGCTGGTGACACAGGCATGGTTTGGAATTTAAGTAGATCAACTGGGATGGCATTACAAGGTTTGGAGGCAGACACTGTAGCAGCTCAGAGGTAGGATCTCATGAAATAGGATGACAGGAAGGTAGGAGAAAGAACAAAGTGGATACACAATGAAATCAGGGATCAGAGCAGCAATAAGAAAGCAGGCGGGCATGTGATCCAAACCAAAGTACTGATAATCACAGCTAAGGCAAGCAGGACCATAGCATATTACAGATGGGGTTTCACTGATTCTAGACCAGACCAGACAGGCTAATGGGCAGCAACTGGGCCAAAATACAAAAGCAATTCTGATGGAAAATTCTGCAGGTGCTATTGATTATCATAAGAAGCTTTGTCCCTTAGGGAAGGAAATTTTCAGAACTCCAGTACAGTGGACCCTCAAGTTATGACCGGCCTGACATACAAATGATTTGAATTAATTAGGTTAGTAAAAGACTCATCTGCCTCTTGTTATCTATAGTGTATACTCAGGTAAACATTCAGATCTCACCTGTTTTGAGTTAGTTACAACCAGCCCTCGGGAGCCAATCCAGTTCATAAGTCAAGGGTCCACTATATTATCTTCCCATCTGAACCAAGTCTGTTTTTTTTTTGTTTTTTTGTTTTTTTTTTTTGCTGTTCTGGGGGTTGAACCCAGGGTTTCTTGCATGCTAGGCAAGCACCCTGCCACAGAGCTACATCCTCAGCCCTGAACCACATCTTCTTTCTCAGCAACACTGATACTGAGAAGGGCATCCAATTCTCCTCTTCTATAGGTTTTTCCAAAACTCTTTGACTCTTCTGTCTCTCCCTCTCTCATATCCACTTCATTTCAAATAACTGTTAGATGGAAAATACATGAAATTATTTGTCACAATCTGCGGAACAGGTTATGCAATCCTTCACTCAATAAACATTAATTGTGCACCTGTGCTGAATGTCAGGTTGTATCTGTGGTGCCTATTAGGTTAGCCATAAGTCACACGTGGGCTAGAGCATATTTGAAATGTGCCTGATGTGACTGAGAAACTGAACATTTAGTTATCTTAAAATTTTAATTATTTTAAATTTAAAAAGCAGTGGAACAACATACTTTTCTGTTCAAAACAAATGTACTGTTTTGGTAGGACTACATTTCACCATTGAAAGTGTATCATACACATTGAGATATGCTGTAAGCATGAAACACACTGGATTTTAAAGACAGTATGAGAAAATAGTTTTTATACTGATTAAATGTCAAATGATAAGTGTTTTGGATATATTGGATTAAATAAAACATATCATTAAATTACTTTCATCTGCTTCTTTGTACTTTTTTAAAGCAGACACTAGTGTCGGGGGCGGAGACGGGTGGAGAATCCCCGCAGTCCCTGGCCTGACTCTCCCGACAACACAGAAGATTGTGGAAGAATCAGACAGAGATCGAAGTTGTACTTTTATTCAGCAAGCATGCAAGAGTACAGCTGCCTTTTCTCAGCGAGACAGGTAGAGGTGCCCCCAAATGGAGCCACCATTGAAGGTGGTTCATTGAAGGGATTCATTTTATAGTGTCCGAGGGCCCACCCTGTCTCTGGGCTGAGAGAGCCCCTACTTGATTGGCTAATTGGTTGGTATGGCTCGTTACTAGGAAAGGGTCGTGGGGGCTTTCACACCTTAGGGCCAAGTTTCCCTTTTTTCTTCTTGATCTTAGCAAACCAAGCTTTGCAGGGTAGAGCGTAAAGAGGAAGTGTGACTGCAGGGTGTCAACTTTTCACAGGTGGTTAAGCCTGTTCTGCCACCTATCTGCAAACTCCTTCCGGGGTGGGGGATCCCTCATCTTTCCCTGCCTAGGGGTCTCTATCCCTACACTAGAAAATTTTAAATTACATATGTGACATATTATATTTCAATTAGACAGTGTTAGTTGAAATTATGATTTCTTTAGTTATCATCTTTCCTTAAAATTCTTAGATGTTGAGAAGTTCTTATAGATTTTTTTTTACCTGAAAATATTATTTATGAACTTCCTAACCTCTATATATGTTTCCACAACCACTGACTTAATGATCTCCATGATGAAGAAATTCATGTAACATTGAAAACAATTAGAAAAATATATTGTTTTAGATTTCTGTGTACTTGTTTAAAAATTATCAATTTATACCTGAATACCAACAGGAATTTTGAGTAGAACTGAGAAGTTGTGATGGTATTTATTACAGTCTAGAAATTGCACTTGGTACTTCCTTCTTAAATGGTCAATGGATTTCATGAATCATGTTTCAGATTTGAGCAAATTACCAGCAGATGGTGTGGCCTTTAATTTTTCCACAGCAAAGGGCTGTGGATTTAGCTCAATGGTTCTGCTGCCTGCCTTGCAAGCACAAGGTCTTGAGTTCAATCCCCAGTACCAAAAAAAAAAAAGAAATGGGCATAATTTTTCCACAGCAAGGACTTTTAGATGAGCCTCATTTTTTCTAAAACCATAAACTTTATGTTGCCAAATACTCTGAATAACTATATGCTGAGTGGTTGCAAAATTATTATGCTAGTGCTAGTGTTCTTCACATGTGCACCATGAAATCTGTGGTTTATAAACAAATATATGTTCTTTTTTTCTACTTTCCCAGTTTAAGTGGTTCTTTTCTTGTGCCTTGGTCCCAAGTTGGTTCTTTGTGAATATCTTGCTGAGCATCTGTCATCTTTGTTCAGATCCAGGGTTTTCATAGTTTACCCTGTAAGCTGTATGTAGGTACCACCTACCTCTCACCATGGTAGGTGCCATGGTAGATGTCTGGCTCTCAACTCATCACATTTCTAACTACGCCCCCTAGTAGTCTCCATGGGAACATGAGAAGTCTTTGAAGTGCTCATCTGTAAGCTAGCAGGTTGGCTCTCTTTGGCTAGACTTTATACTGTTGAGCCTGGCTCGTGTTGGCATAGAACACCCTGCACTTTGGATTTTTCCTAGGGAACTAAATGGGAAGTAGAACAGGTTCACCTCAGCCTTCAGCCCCCCCCCCCCCATCTAATATTCTTTCTCTGAAAGTTTCTAGGTCAAATGTTAGAGACGAGACACCAGGTAGACATCACCTCCTCTCACCTGTCCTGACTTTCTCCCTTAACATTACTCCTTTTACCTCTACCTAATCCCTCTCTGTTATTTCCCTCTGCCTGAGTGGAACAGGCTTTGGTTTCAGGCTCCCTTTCATTCTAGATATCACTTCCCTTATGTCATATTTTCCCCCTTCACAACATTAACATTATATCTGAACCTCAAGGCAGGTAGAGATGGAAGATCAGCTTACTCCCAAGAGTAGTCAAATCAGTAAAGATGTAAAAAATATCATCCATGAACCAAATATATTTTCACATAGTTTTCTAGTGTGCTAGAAACAGAAATGTGACTTTCAACACTTTTAGGGGAAGGAAAGATAAGAATTTATGTCTAAAATAGGATTAAATAGACTTTTAAATATCTTTTTTGTATTCTTAGATATGTGGTAGCTTATATAAAAATTGCTTCTCTTGGTCAGTAATTTTTTGTAGCCTCTTCACTGCATGAGGTCACAGCTTTCCCAAAGAATCAAAATCCTTTTTTATAGTTTAGAAAATGAGATATTCAGTTTATCTAAATGGGCTGTCTCTATCCCCTACAGGTATAATTTTAATAAGATCTCATTCTCTGTTTTTCTTAAGTTGAAACTAAAATTTCAGGTCAAATATATTTTAACTTCTCTCTCACTCTTTGTTCCCTGAACTTTTCTTTTCTATGAAAAGGAGTCTGAAGCATGGATAAGATGAACATGATGGTTCATGATTTAAACTGTGATCTCCTCTATTATATCTTATTTTCTCTGATTCTTTCTTAGTTTATGAATGCACACCAACATGTCTGAGTTTGGCTTAAATCTTGCATCCAAAAAAGGAGTTAATTTTATCACTCAACATCTACTAAAATAGGTTTAAAATTTTTTTATCATAAGATTAAAAGCATTTTACATGAACAGTACTTTTCTATAGTTAAAATTAGCCCAGGACCAATACTACAGTTTGAAAGAAAGCAATATTAATATTCACATAGTATATTAGCATCTGCTATGCTGAAAAGTGCTCCAGATCACTTCTCTAATTCCAGATCAGGATCAGAAAAAAGGTTATATTACAGCCCTGCCATTACTACATATCTACCTTTCAGCAGCTCATTTCATTTTTTAATAGGCTCCAAATTTCTCCCTCTATAAAATATGAAATTATATTAACTTTTATTTTAAATCTTTTACTTTGATAAAAATCTGTGATTGTGATATCTAGAGGAGGGAAGTGACCACATATACTGAATAAAACAGACAAAAAAATTTCTACCAGCTACTCCCACTTTTAACTGTGCCCTTATATGGTTTCCTGCCAAACCAACAAGGCATATGGACTGTGTGGCAGAGTCACCAGGACAAAGGATTAAAGGAAGAAAAAAGGATCCAGATGTTTCCATTTGGAGTAATTGAATTTTCAGACACATCTAATTCAGATGAGCTTTAGCCATAAACAATTGAGCCAGACACATAAAAGTGAATCTTATAATTCTACTGGGTTTTCATGGTGCTGCTTTCCATTCTGCATTCTAGTCCATATTATTCCCTCACCTATCTGCAATGACAAGGTGGGAGTCAAGACAAAGGACACTCTTAATCAAGAAAGCAAATTAAAATCTCCAGGCCCTGAATGGTTCACAGAAGAATTTATTGCATGCCGATGGAGTACTATTTTAAGTAATATGAGAATGGGATACCAAAAATAAGGATACTAATACTGCAAAAATGTCTCAATCTAGTTGAATAAAAATGTGCACAATCAATAAACCAGCTTTATGACCTTTGAAAAAGTCATGGATAGTAAATGTTCTTATCTGCACACTGAATGCTTCATTTAATCCTTCAAGTTTAGTCTATTCTATAAACTTAATCAATTAAACCAAAAAGAGGGAGACAAAACTTGCATCTCACTTGGAAAATTTGATTTTATCTACTGAATTTTAAAAATTCTGCGGTAGATTTTAAGTTTAAGAAATAAATAGAAAACCAGAGCCAACAATAAACATGGAGATTTAAAGCTTTTTGAGAGGGAAAAGGGGGGATATTTTAAAATTTTTATTAGTATGTGTTTGTAATATATAATGATTACATCCATTGCGGGGAGCTGGTACACGTACATAACACATTTAATTCTTTCTACTTTCCTTTTCTCTCTCTCCCTTTCCTCCTCCCTCCATCTCTTGGTCTCCTTCCCATTTGCAAAAGATCTATCTCCCTGTTTCCTATATCCATCTTTTATCTTGCTCTTTAAATTATTTATACTTTGTGTTTCTCAAGTAAGAGAACCATGTGATACTGAAGCTTTTGTGTTACGCAGGGACAATAGGCTTAAAGTGAAACTATTCTGAGTGAAGTTGGATATATGGCTGCTCTTTATGTAAAGAAAATAGATTTGTCTCAGAAGCTGGCATCATTGGAACGGGCTTTGTCTGGAGTCAGAATATTGAGTCTAGAAGTAAAATGAAGTTCCCCAAACTGCGTGGCTAGATGTTTCAGCCAAGTTCACCCGCAGCGTGGAAAATCTGAGACTGACTTTCTCCTCTATCCATTTCCTCAAGTAAGCCTTTATTGTTTGTTGAACACTTACTTGTTTAAAGAAATAAATACAGGGCCGGGGGTTTAGCTCAGTGGTTTCGCCGCCTGCTGCGCAAGCTCAAGGACCCGAGTTCGATACCCGGTACCAAAAAAGAAAAAATAAAATAAAATAAAGAAATAAATACAAAAGTGTAAGGTATGATTCTGTCAAAGAGTTGGTTGCTGGCATAGACAGATGTCACCAGGCATTACTGGATAAATTGCCGAGTCAATAGTACAAAGAATGAGTCGAAAGTTAGAGGGAGGGACCACATTAGGATTGGGAAGGAGGTGAGGCATTAGGAAAAGATGTGGCATTCAAGTTAAGGATTAGGTAAAAATTGCAATTTACATACAGTTGTAGTGCTTGATATTTCCCATCTTCATTCCCAATCAGCCTGTAACAAGGTATTAAATATAAAAACTAAGAAATAATAATGATTTTAAAAAGTGCAACTACTATGTAAAGGGTTTTATAAATCATTAAGAGAAGAATAAACATTTCTGTAGAAAAATGGACCAAGGACCTGCAAGGGCAATTAAAAAAGAATGGCCAAAATACATTTGAGAATTCATTCAGTTGAGTAAAACATGTGCAAAATACTTGATGAACTGGTGGAAGCAGGTAGACGGTTATTGGTAGGAGATGGTAGAGTGGTATAATGTTCTCTAGAAATCAATTTTGCCACATGGATCAGTAAGTGTATATTCTTTGGTTCAGAAATATCACTTTTAGAAATTGATCCTAAGGATTTAATTGGGTAATTATACAAAGACATCAGTATGTGCAAGGATGATCAGTATAGTATTGTTTATGTTAAAGTGAAAATA